GGTGCGGTGGAGCAGGGCTTTCCCCCCTCCCTCGAGCCTGGCTGCTGTTGGGATCCGACCCTGCTTTTCCCTGCCTTCGCTGTGTGGCCTCTCCGGTCCCTGTGAGGGCAGGGAAATGACTCCTTGCTGGTGTTCTCCAGTGAGGACGGCCGGCGGGCTGCCAAAGCCAACAGAGCCGGCAAAGGTATCCTCAAGTCAGGGCTGGCCTGAGGACAGAATAAAGAGATGGAGACAAGTGTGGAAATTTGCCATGACCTTCCCATTTTAAGAGATTATTTGGTTTTCCATGGTGACCCACCTGCTGTGGCCTTGCAGAAGGACGTAGGGTGCTCTGAAGTGCCCGGGGGGTGTACGAAACACCGAGCTAGGGCTGCAAGATGCGACACAGGAACGTAAGAAACAGACCCCAAACCCTCTGAGGTGGCAGGGTAAGGACAGGTAGGAAACTGGGGGCATCTCAGTGGCCTTAGACAGCTGTGGTTAGGCTCCAAATCCAGTCCTGGATGGCCAATGAAGTGAGATACCGTGCCATGCTTTGACAGCCAACTTCGCTTTCATTAAATAATCCTGAGCTTTGTTAGCTTCTCTGTGACCATATTCAGAAATAATAGGAAGTTTGATGCTGGGCAATCCATAGCCAAAATACTGGTCTAGGGTTTTTTTTAGTGCTGAACGACTCTGCTTCAGGTGGAAGTGTAGCAAAGTTGCTCTGTCTTTGGATATTAAGGACACTGAAAGTTTATATAGGTCCAAAAACATTGGGTCTTTTTTCCATGAGTATGTCTGTTAACAGTTATTAAATACCAAGATATCCCCTCTGGTTCAGTAAGTCCCTGAACCACACTGCCAGAAGCTGTGTGCAATTGCCAAGGAAGATGCATTATACGATGGCTTTATTCTCTGACATTCTTGCTTAGGCATCTGTTGTTGACTGCCATTTCAGGCGAGACACTGAGCGAAAAGTGTCCTTGAAATGGCTTTGTATAGCTGTTCTCATTAATTTTCTTTTCCTCAAAAGCTTATGTTTTATTCCACATGATTTTGGTTAAATGTACTGAATCATGTTTGAGGCAGAGGGGAAGTCCTCCAGCTAATTTTTTATATCTTCATTTTGGATGTTTTTATGTATTCAGTGAAGAATGACTTCTCATAAAACAGCTCAAATTCCAAGCCAGAGTTTGTGATTTTTTCTTGAGTTTCTTCTAGCATGGTTATTCCAAAGGAAGTATCTTTTAACTGGAGCAAAGAGTTATGGGAGAGGGGGAAGAAAGAGAATTTCCTGAGAGCTTTTCAGAAGTATGGTTACCTCCATCTTCTCTGATTTAGATTTGTTATTCCTTTGGAGGACAAAAACATTAATATGATTTATAAGCAGCTATGGTAATTTTCTCACAATAGCTATAACTAC